TCGCTAAGTGATTGCAAGAAACCGCCATTGATGAAGCTTCTTCTCTGTGTATGTGTGTGGCTCTAGAGACAGGTTTTTGGATTTTGTGATAAATGAAACAAAAATCTGTGGTTATAATTTTTTTTTGAAGCTAATCTTCTTTCTTTGCGAGTTAACGGTCATTAACTAACTTTTTTTTACCGCTCTTTTTTTTCCTTTGTGTACATACACCAAAATGGCTTGTGTTCAATTATATTTTGGGAATTTTTTTTTTTGTGTGTGTTTTCATCAAATTGGCACATATAACTTTACATTTTGTATTTGAAATACGGTTCCTAGTGTCAATTAATTAAGATAAATCAAGCAATGATCTCAACATTTAGACCCAAAATAAATAGTACTAATAATCAAGCAATGTTTTATGAATTTTATGAGAAAATTGTTGACAAGGTCATGTGGAATTGCTTAATATCATTATCATTTTTTTTTTAATGAATTTTATGGTTCATTCGATGCAATAGAGTGGAACTAATTGTTGACAAATGACAAGGTCATGTGGAATTGGTCATACAATTTTTCTCACGTTCTCTTATTTATGTTAAAGACTTCAGAGTTAAATGGTCAAACAAGTTATATTTTTTCTTTTTGGTCGAAATTATTAAGTAGTTATGTAATTGATGAAAAAGTGCTGATGATGTAGTGTGYACATGTGACTCTTACCTTATAATTTCGTACTAAAACGGTGTAAATACCCCTACATTCTTTGGTTTATAGATTCGAAATATCTAATAGTAGTAATCCAATTGAAAGTAAATTTATTGTAAAATGACAGAGAGTCACGAACATCCACTCTTGAGATATTACAAAGACGGCACACACATATGGAAACCTAAACCAAAGAGGAGAATTCACATATTTGAGTGTATATATATTCAAATATATCACAATATATTCATTTTGGTGGGGTTCATATATACACCTTAATAAAGTTCATTAATTTTGATTTTTTGTTTGTGGCTTCGAATAAAAAATGTTTGTATAAGATGGTGGCAAAAATTGAAAGGGCGTGGTCCATGAATCCATATCTTTAAAAATGATTCGGTGTGTTAGGTGATGAACTAAATAATACTAATAATCTTATACACAACTTGCTTGGTTAGTGGTGGATTTGGTTGGTGAAGGGATATTTTTGTCATTAACCGGATTTTAGTCTTTCTCTCCTTGATTTTGTAAAGTGTTTTATTTTTTGTCACCATGCTCTTAAATTTGATTAGTTTGTCTATTAACATTCC